CTTTTAACTTAGAGTTCTATTTGTCGATTATTAAAACATATGTGAGACTTACATTAACTAACTGATAATGGTAATGTATTATTACTTTGGATTGATGTTAATATAGCATCATATGAAAGTTGTTCATAGGATAATAAATCACGTGTACCTAACCGTTCAATATTTGTAAATAAAGTATTTGAACTTGTATCTAATATTGAACGTGTTTGCATATATTGACCACCGATAAAAAAAACAAAACAGATAAAATCTAGTTTATTTTTCAAGCTTGTTACCATTGTGTTGCATTTGTTTCTAAAGTTTCTTCTTTTTTTTTAAAATTATTTGTTGTTTGTTTATTTTCATCATTAGATTGATTTGTGGTGAATTAGTTGAGGCCTATCTTTCTTGAAATTGTATTCTTAATAATCAACCAACTTCAAAATTGTCTTTATATAAATATTGGTAAACAAAATAATAATATAGCTATACAATATAAATCATGTCAATAAATATATGATATATATATATTTAATTTTTTTTGTTAAATAATAAAGATGATCTTTTATCTGGTTCAATTAAATTTAAATATGATTATAATATATTTGATATAGTTAAACCATGTCGTTGATAAATATATTCAAATATTGATAATAGTATTTTCGACAATGTACAACATGATATTATTTGATCCGTTTCACAACTAAGAAATGATATTTTTTTTTTGAAATATATTTATATAAATTATTTCTGATATAAATATTATAAAACGTAATAAATCATGTATATCACCTGTTGAAAATTGACATATTAATTCAACATGATTTTGTATTTTATCAAAATATATTGATATAGAATCTATGAATGCAATTGAATATGGTTGATTATTAGAAGCATGATAAAAGACTTTTTTCATAAATTGTATTAGGTGTTGTTTCAATGTCATTTTAATTTGTTTCATTTGATATAACTATACAAAATCCTAGGAAAACAAACAAAGAACAGATTTATATTGTTTCTTATTTTCTCAAATTAATTTTCATTTGCTATAAGAATTATCCTAAAAATTTAATGCTGTAGAAAAAATCCAATTCGTTTTCGGAGTTCACGAGTTCAAACTTATAGAAAGTTTATCGAAATTCTCGAATGCAATTTATTTCGAAATATAATATCAGAAAGACGTCGTTTTCTTTAATTGTAATAGTACAAATAGCACGACTGAGAATTTGATCAATAAGATTCGAGAGAAATTATTCGGTCATTGTACTAATGTAGCTTAAATGCTTTCCTTTACGATTTGTATTACCTGAAATTCTGCATATTTTCTATTTCAAAATATTTTTCGAAATTTTGAATTATTCAAAAGTCTCATCTATTACTAGCACATTAACAATGTCAAAGTAAAAAACAAAAATTTCTTTTAATTGGATTAAAATTTTTATTATACATATATATTTATTTATTTCGATAAATTAAACTAAAATATACCGGTGACATCATAAATGGTAATCAGTTTTTATAAGTTAGATTTTTAAGTATTTGTTCATAAATTTTTCTTGTTATATCCATAGGATAATTCAGATTATTAAAATCTTCTTTAATAATATCAATTGATGTTGTTATTGATAATATTTATAAAATTTATGGTATATATTTAGGTAATAATTGTTTATTTAATGGTAATGGAAGAAATTGTTCAATTAATAAAACTAATATAAGACCACTTTCATATAAATGTATTCCTTCAGAAACGAATAAATGACTTCCAACTGATGTATGATGTATAAGATAAAATAAAAAATAATAATAATAATTGATAATGTGTTGTTATTGATGTAAAATGTTCAACATATAATTTATGATGATATATTAAATCACAATAAGATTGTAATTGACCACTGATAGATAAATTTATTCTTGATGATGATGGTGTTAATGTCAGTGACCAGCATGCTTCTTGTGTATAATCAAGCATATTCAGAATATGTGTCCATTGTAATAATAATGAGATATAAAATGATGATCATAATAATTTAAAACATTCATTTAAAATAGTTAAATATGAAAATATATCAAGACAATGTAGAGCTTCATCATGAATTCGTAATTGATGAAAATCATTTACAATTGTTCGAAATTGTTTAACTAAAATAAAATCATAGATCTTATATAAGCATAGGAATTTTAAAGTCAAATGTTTTTCGCTAGGTCATTAGTAATTAATGAATTGCAGGAAAGTTTTATCTTCAAATTAATGGGTGATATGTACATAAAGATAATCGGATGCAAGAGAAACTAAGGTCATATTGATTTGACCACATAAGTGTCGAGTATTAGTTAAAATTCATAATATTATGTCATGTAAAACACGAAGAAGAGCTCTGAAAACAGAAACGAGAATAATACTTGTTAAATTATAAATAAAATCATTTCGAATACTTACGCACTAAAAGTTTCATCTCGTGTTCCATTAACTGCTAATAAAACATCATTCTATCGTGTTAATATAGTATATTCAGTTAAATTTTGTACAAGACATCGAAGTATTATATTTATATTGATTAACTATCGATTTGTAGATTGACAATTGACATTGTAAAAAAAAATTTAAACTACAGAAAAATTTTATAAATAAAAACAACGGACATTTCTATTTACTAACGCTCGAAAAGCAACATCAAATAGTGTTAATTGTGTGGAATAAATATCCAAAAGTGATTGATTCTATTTGAACAAAAAAAAGTAACGTAAAATCAGAGACTATTAAAAGAAAAATAACCTGAGATTGTAAATGAGCAAGAAGTAAATCGACAATTTGTCGTGAAAGACGTTTTCATTTATCATCTTCATTTCGAACACTATCAATAATAACTGTGAACAATCGTAAAGCCTATAACAATATAGATTCTATTATTATTTTTTCAGTACATACACATGATATGAAAAGATACTTTTATTTATAATAATTAAGATGCCTAGTTTTCCCTCAAACTCAGATACATAACAACAAGATGATTATTTTCAGATCATCGATTCGTTGAAGTGTGGGCGTGGGTTCAATCGAGGAGAAAAATTACATCTACACACTCACACTCTCTCATTTAATAAAACGTTTTAGGAATTTTAATTATTCGCATAAGTCGAACAAGAAAAAAAAATCATATAAAACTGGTTCTAATGCCGCCAAAGCTAAATAAAGAATTTTAACGATAATTTCTTTTTCTCGAAAATGTTTTTTTTTGCTTCCTACTATGTGTTTCAGGTTCATGTCCAATTGCTAATAATGAATCATAATGTTTTATTAAATCTTGTATTTTAATAACTTGTTTTGAATGAAGTGTATCATGTGATAACATAACAAGAAATTCAGCAATACAATAAATAAAATGCTATTTAAAAATAAACGAAACGATTAGAAATACAACGAATTTCATCAGCTTCTAATTAACTATAATTAACACGAATTAAAAGTAATTGAACAAGTAAATCGAGTAGAGCAGCTTGAAAATCACTTTCATTTCTATTAATATATTTTTTAAGACTAATTTTTTAGTTCAATAAAAACTAAAAGGGAAAAGAAAAAAACAGAATAGATCAAATTCATTTTTTTTGTTTATTTTACTCTCGTATTGCACTATTTATACTTGATGCATAACGTGAACCAAATAAAATAAATTATCGATTGTCGAATACTTATTCTATGAATATAAGTTAAAGAATTATTTAATGATACTTGTGAAAAAATATTTGAAGATTTAATAAAAACTAAATTAAAAGAATATTTTTAAATGATTGTTGTGTTAACAGAAAACATGATTTTCAAATGTCGAATTGATAGCGTGTCTTCCAGATCGCTGACGTAAACTAGCTGATTTAATATTCGAATTTCAAGATTGAACCGAATCAAAAGATCTGACACTTTCACAACAAAACTACTCTCGTTAAGATCATCGATATTCGTAAAATCAGTTTTTCTGTTACTATGACATTCTTACATTGAAATTTTGCTTCTCTAGGAAAGACCCTTTCAGAAACCTTCATTATAAGATTTCCATCTAAAGTTTTATCTGTAGACAAGTTTCAGACACAATACAACATTCTAAAGGTTTTAGCTTAAACAATAAATAAAGAAGATTAATAATTGAAATTTTCTTTAAAATAATTAAGTGTTTCTTCCAAATTTTTTGATAAATCTTGTGTAGAAATAAGACTTAAAACTGATTTCATAGACAATAATGATTATTTCTGATGAATTTAATAAACTTTTATGTATTTGATAAGATGAACGTATTAATTCGAATAACTTCCAAAAGTACCTAATTGTGTATGATTAACTCTTTTAACTTTGTCTGTGTTTGATGTTGTTGATGAATCTTTATCATTCTATTTAAAAAGACAAAAAACAAATGAATTCATTCAGACGAAACATGATTAGATATATTCTTCAAATCTAACACTTTGGAACTCCTTTCTTCTCTGAAAACTGAAATATCAACTATATTCTGTCCAAAAGAATGATGATAAGATAGTTCAATTTTTCGAATTACTTGAATCATTTGTGCTACTTTCAAAACATTTTTTCGTTTGCTGAGATTTGATAAATCTTCAAATAAAAAGAAAGAATTTAAAAAAAACATAATAAATATCTTTTTTTTTTCTTTACTTGAAAAGATTAAATTCTTAAGATCATGTAATATAAAGGAATGTTTAAAAAAATTTTTAAATAAACGAAGTTCATCATATTGATTATGAAAAAATTGGTCGAATTGTTGTTGGTCTTAAAACATTTGGAAGAACATAAATATTTTCTAAACATCCAACCTATATAAAAGACAAAAATGACGAACAATTTGTATTCGATTTGATGCTTGAGCGTGTAATGAATGATGAATTTTATATAACCATTGACATGGTAAAAATGAATTGTGATCAACAAACCTTAAAATCAAAAAGTAGCTAATAGCTAACTTAATGCAATAAAATCGACTTATTCATTCAAATTCGAAAAAAAGCTACCTAGTTAATATCTCTACAAAATGCATACTTAGCAAAAGTCGAAGCAGTTGCTTGACGAACACGTATATCAGGGTACTGTTGTTTTAATTGTTGGTGTTCAAGATAAGTTAATATTCGAAAATCAATATCATCTATAAATTGAGCTAGACTAACCTATTTTATATACATACAAAAAAAAATTATTATAATCATAAATTTCTTTTATCTACTTTAGCAAGAATACAGGAACTTGTAGTATGTTGAATAGAATCTTCTAATAATTTAATTCCTATGATTGCAAATGCATGCCTATTAATAATAAAAAAAGGTAATAATGTTCGTAAAGCATTTAATGAAACATGTATAACACGTGCATTATTATCATTAAGACATATAACCTTGAACTGTCTTGTGAATCAGTTGATACAAGTGAACATTGTTTAATAAAAGATGAATTGTTGTTTGAATTAATGTAGCAAGTAAACTTGCACATGCACCACGTAAATGTAGATCACCATGTTCACATAAAGATAAAAGATATGTAATATCTTAAAGCAAGGAAAAAAAAAGATGCCTTGATGTTCGATAAATTTTAATGTATTTCAAGTCATATAGAGATGGGAATTTTATTTTTCTCATTAGGAAATTTCATATCAATTACAAAACTATATTTAATCAGAAATCTTCAAAGACTAAAGAAAAACTCCTTAGAGGATACAATTGATTTCATATCTCGAACTTCGGCTTAGAACTATTTTTTGAAGTAATTGTGTGATTGGATGATTTCAATCTCTGATGTATAAATGCAGGCTTTGAGCTTCAATAAAGTGTTCTACTTGATATCGTTTCGAGTCTGATAAGGTTCTAGTCTTTTGTTGATTTCAAAAAAATTAAAAATAGGAATAGGACTAGAGCTGCTGAATCAATATTGAGAAATCTCCTTTCTTGAATTTTCAGATTCCAATATATATATATATGTTTCAACAATTTAATAGTGAAATTGTCATATCTATCAGATAACTTTCACTAAAACTTTGAGACTTTAACCAATTGAAGCCACGTCAACTAAACTCTGCCACAATCCCCTTCATCTAGGCCCTCCTACTGTTACGACATTAGAAATAATTTTGGATTATAAAAAAAAGTCAAACAAGAATTAAACATACTTTTAGTAAGATAAACAAATGGATCAAATTGTTTATAAATACGATAGACATATTGGTATAGCACATTTAACATTAATACATGATTCATCATCACTTTTTATCATACCATCCATATTAAGTATATATCCAATCGGAAAAAAAATATAATTGATTAACAAGTTTAGCAGCTGATATTCATTTTTCATTATTAATCATTGATGTTGAATCGAATTCATCATTCATTTCAATAAATCAACGTTGATATGTTGAATAAGCTATTGTTTTAGAAAAAAAACAAATGAAAAAAAATTCTTGTTTTTTTTCCTCAATATTTACCTTTTTTTCAGGCTTCACTAACATGAATTTCTTCTATAGATCCAATTTGAGTTGAAATTAATAATTGATCAAAATCAAATAAATTTGAATATTTAAGTATAATTTCATGTGTTTGCGATGAACTTGATACAACATTATGATCATTATGTTGTAAACAAATGTAACATACCATATCAACACATTAAAAAAAGATTTACATTGAAATTAAAGTCATTCATTATTTGTTGAATACTGATTGAAAGATGTTATTGATTTGTATCAATATTTTTACTTCTATTCATTGATTGTTGATTATTGCTTGATTATGATTGAAATTCTTAGATATTTAAACCAAATAATTGAGGGTCGGGATGTGTAGGGATAAGCAATACAAACACTCACACCCACTTCTCAAAATGCCTGAGTCTTCTTAAAGCACATTCGCCATACTTTCTTCGGATGCATCTAACGAAGTTTGAGTGATAAATAGAGTTTTTCATACATCGAACGATAAAATAAAAAATATAAAATTTTTCATTTATTTATTTTGAAGCTTTCAACACTACTTCTATAATTATCAATTTCAAAAAAAATTTTACGATAGAAAATACTTATATATATTAGAATAAAGTTCAAAGTCTAATGAATCATTATAACTCAAATTTACGCTTATACAAGTATCAGTGTATATTTTATCATTGCAACAACACGAAACGCAAAGGTAAGGTAAAAAAGGAAGAAGTAGAATATATGAAAAACGAAACGTATTTTATGACGAACACATGGTCGAAAAAGTCGTTTACATGATGAAAAAGTCATGCTTCATTGATTCATGTAAATATACGTTTGTGGGAAAAAACCAAGTAATTTTGTCAATGATAAATACAGAATAAAATCGATTGCAAGCACACAAAACAAAATTTGCTATACTCCAACATTACATAGCACGTAAGTGTATTTAGTTTCTAACATTATTAGACTAGTAAGAAAATTAAAGTGAAAAGTAAAGAGTAGCTACACACAAAAAAAATGACGATACATAAACATGTGTCATTGTTATGTTTATAAAGTAGTTTTAAGAGAATTTCGCTTGATGATACATGCAATCGATTGTCTTGGTTGCAGAATCTTGTATGTATAAAACAGTCTTATTGTAAAACATGTTAAACAGAGTAACTGTTTCTATGCATAAATTTTAACGCGAGTACCAGTAATGAAAGGCACAATTTTTCTTTTAGAAAGTACTCTTTTTCTGGTCTACCGACTAATCTGGCCTGATTAGATAGAGAAACGGGTTAGATATGTCGAAGTTTGAAGACATTCTGGACTAGTTCAGACGTAGCTGCAGGAGTTTTGATGTCAGGATAACTAGTTAGGACAGGTATTTTCGACATTTCGGACTAGTCATGTCGTCCGTCCTCAGCGACTATTTGTTTCCTTAGCCATTCTTCTTTATTTATGGTTCGATGTATTTTGTCAGTAACACTCTTGAAACAAAAATGAACCAGATAGTAGAGGTTCTTGAAGTCTGTAGCCACAAGTCAGAAAAGAAATGATGTTAACCAACAAAAAATTTAACAATTATAAATATAGAGGACTTCGTTTCACAGATTATATTCATTCGTTCGATTACAATGAGCAAACAAAAGTCGACAACAACTGTTATCAGTGGTGCAGCAGCGATGCCTAGCACCACCACTATTACCAACGCGAACAATCGTGCTGCTGCTGTGCTGCCTCGACCTAGGCGTCGGGTTCTTCAAAATTTCCGGCTTCTATGGCTTGATGCCAAATTGGATGAATCCAATGACGATTTCAAGAAATCGTTTCGACGCCTGCGACGTGTTGTAGCAAGCATCGAAACATTTAAAGATGCTCAAGAATGCATTGATTTTCTCAGTGCCGTTACAAATCAAAAGGTATTTATGATCATATCTGGTTCACTCGGACGGCAAATAATAGCAGATATTGAAGCATGGCCACAACTGGAGTC